CCCTCCCCCCCTTCCTCTCTCCTGTCCCCGCCCCCCACTCTCTGCTGTCTACCCCCTTCCCTCTCCCCCCCCTCTCTTCTGTCCCTCTCCTCCCCCCCTCTCTCCTGTCCCCCCCCCCTTCCCCTCTCTCCTGTCTCGCCCCCTCTCTCTCCTGTCCACCTCCCCTCCCCCCCTCCTCTCTCCTGTCCTCCCCCCCCCTGTCTCCTTTCCCTCCCCCCCTCCCTCTCTCATGTCCCCCTTCTCCCCGTCTTTCCTGTCCCCCCCCCTCCTTTCCCCCCCCCTGCTCTCCTGTCCCCCCCTCCTTCTCTCCTGTCCCCCCACCCTCTCCCCCCCCCCCTCTTCACTATCCCTGTCCCCCCCCCCGCACTGTCTCCTGTCGCCTCCCCCACCCCCTCTCTCGGTCCCCCCACCCTCTCGTCCCCCCCCTCTATCCTGTCCCCCCCCCTCCCTCTCTTTGTCCACCCACCCCCCTCTCCCCCCCCCTCTCTTGCTCCGATTGACTTCTTAAACTCACACGCCGGATCGGCGGATTTCTCTTCGGCGTGGGCCGGATGCTGCACCAGTCGTGGAGACATTGCTGCAGCTGGCGCCTAGTTGGGATCATGGAGTCTACGCGTCCCCTTTCTTTCCCCCGTGTTCCCCTGCGTACGCAAACGCCCTCCCATGTTTCTCCCGCATCCGATCCTCCTTCTCCCTTGGCTTCCCGTGTGTTTCCCCGTCTCTCCTTTTGTTCCCTCCCCCTGGCCCGATTCACCCCCTTCCCCGGTTCTCCGCCGGCCCGCCCCCAGTCTCCCTTTACAGTTGAGGCCCATGCTAAGAAACGCCCTGCTTGCCTCCAGAGTGCCCTGGGTGGGTTTCTTGGGTTTCGATGGTTTTGCGATGGAAAGCTTGACGTTCCCACACCAAAAACATCAATGGACGCCCTGGGGTCTCAGGGTTGGGTTTCTTGTGGAAGGTTCCTTGTGGACTGGCCTCCACTGTAGTCTCTCCGTTCTGCCCCTCCTCCTCCTCTCTGGTCCTCCCGTCCCTCTCTGCACGTCCTGCCGCTTCGCCCCCTCCGTCTCTCGCCCCTCCCTCGTCCCTTGCCGTACACCCTTTTCTGCCCCTCCTCCCCCACAGTCAACCCGCATAGGAAAGGATGGGCTATTTTCCCAAGTCTACCCCTGCATCCTTGCCTCCTCGGTCCATCCTTCGCCACCACTTTCGCTGACCGCGCCCCGCTCGGAAGCCCAGAGGACGTCCGAGCTTTCTGAGAAAGCCTACCCTTCTCTCTTCCCCCCGGGATCGCTGTCGATTCCTGGCGGCGCGCATTGTAGGGTGAGGGGGGGAGCCGTCTTAGAGGTAGGCTGCTTTTTTGAAGTCGCGGGCCTGGTTTGAAGTTGTAGGGTTGACGCCTTCAGGAAGCAGCCTCCTTCTGAGAAGCCCTCCCCCCTCCCCTACCCCCTTGTGCGCGCAGCCACGATTCGGGGTCATTGCACGATTTGGGGACTTAGGTAGTTCTTCGAGGATGTCTCGGACGATTGGGGCGACGGACCGTGCGGTGAGGTCCTTCGAGATTTTGAGGTTACCGCACGGTCTGTCACCGCACGGTTGTGGGACCCCCAAGGCCTCTTCCTTGCCCACCAGGGGGGTCACCTCTTGAGAGGAGAGGTCCACGATGCCTCCCATAGCGGGGGATAGGACATGTCTCGAGCGCAAGGGGGGGGGGGGAGGGCGGGGTCCACACGACCAGGGGTACCCCCTTTTTCCCTTGCTTCTCCCGCTAGTGGTCCCTGGTGGTGGTGCTGGTGCCGATTTGCCTTTTCTCCCTACCTGCTCCCCCGTGATGCGAGTTCTCCCGCCACCGCCGCCGCCCCCTCGCGTCAGCCTCCCTCCTCCCCGGCAGCCTTGGGGGCACCCGAGCTGTGGGGGGGGCGCCTGCGTCGTTTGAGCCTTCGTTGTCGTCGTCCCCGCTGTTTCTGCTGCCGTCGTCGACTTCGTCTTCGCCGTCGTGTGCCGTCCTCGGCGGGTGGCCTGTCGCGCGCGAGGCTCCCCGCTGCAGGAGGGCTCGTTCGAGCGCAAGGGCGGGGCGGTCGTGCAGACGCTGCCCAGTGGCGAGCTGCTGCGCTGGCGCCGCTCGCAAGAGGGGGGGGGACGAGGAGGAGGAGGAGCAGGATGAGGAGGAGGAGGGGGAGTACAGGGAGCAGGAGGAGGAGGAGGAGGAGGAGGAGGAGGAGGAGGAGGAGGAGGAGGAGGAGGGGGTAGGAGGAGGAGGAGGTAAGATGGGGGAGCTTCGAGGTTCGAAGTGGTTGGGCTTTTCTGTCGGCTCTCGGCGGTGTTCACGGTTCTCCAGCAGCTGCGCCTCGCCAAAACGTCCCAGGGGTGCTTGATTCGATCCGAACGGCCGTTGGAGCGCCGAGTTATGGTGCGAAAGCCAAGGGACAACGCTAGGAAATGCAGGAGCACATGGGAATGGGGAGGAGGAGGAGGAGGAGGAGGAGGTCAACGTTCGAGGTTGTTCCATTTGGGTGACGGGTGCAGTAGAGAGCGGGAGGGTATTGATGAGGTGGACGGGTGCAAGCGGGAGCAGGAGGTCGAGCGGGAGACGGAGGATGAGCAGGAATAATCAGATTTGCAGTTGACTCTTGAAGCGACAGTCGGGCTTAACCGCCAACCGCAGCGGCAGGAGATGCTAGCAACGATTGTTTTTTCGTTACCAGTAGGAGCAGTACCACACTTTGTAATAGTAGCTGTATGCCGTTTGTCGCGACGGCAGTAGGACTGCCTGTAGTAGATGTAGGCGTCGCAGAAGACCATGAAGGAGTAGCTAATGTAGTATTTGAGCTTTCATTTCGGAATGAGAAGTAGTGTTGATCCCCCCATCCAGTAACCATTGTAGCTTCCAGGTATCGAGTTTATCCTGCGGCTCGCTTTGTGTTTTTGTTCAAAGAAATCTGAGGTGGCACTAGACTGAGCCCCTGGCCCCCGAGTTACAATACTTCCTCACGAGTTATTTCCAAATCGCGCTCTCGTTTGCGATTTCCATCGCAATGTATACGGGGAGTGTGCTCTCGCGTGGGACTTCCTCGCAATTGATTCAGACGCCGCGCCCTCGGCACTCAGGAATCACGTCCTCGCTGTAGATTTCCTCATCATTCAATTAAGAGTCGCGCTATCGCTCGAGACCTCCACGCCATTCATGCAGGACGCACGCTTCAGCAACCCGCAAGCTCGAAATGGCCGGCTGGGCCTGCCTTCCCGACACGCTCGTTGGGGTCTACACGCCCGATCTGCCGGTCTGGTTCTGCCACGCGTTCTCTGCTCCTAGCGCCCTTCGGTCTACTTTTCTTTGTGCTCCATCCTTCTCCCTCGCATTAGTCAATTTCTTCCATCAGTCCTCTCTTCCCCTACCTTCGGGGCTGCACGAAATACACGTTGCAGGTAAGAGAGACCTGCAATGGAGCACTGGAGACGGATAGAGCGAACAGTCTCACAAATAACGTGAGTACTGTTGCAGTCTTAGTGGTTGTTGTGATCTGGGTAGTTCTGGTAGAGGTAGCCGCAGTCACAGTAGTAGTATGCTTAGTCGTAGTAGTAGTCTAACTAGTAGTAGTAGTAGTAGTAGTAGTAGTAGTAGTAGTAGTAGTAGTAGTAGTCGTAGTCGTAGTCGTAGTCGTAGTCGTAGTCGTAGTCGTAGTCGTAGTCGTAGTCGTAGTCGTAGTCGTAGTCGTAGTCGTAGTCGTAGTCGTAGTCGTAGTCGTAGTCGTAGTCGTAGTCGTAGTCGTAGTCGTAGTCGTAGTCGTAGTCGTAGTAGTAGTAGTAGTAGTAGTAGTAGTAGTAGTAGTAGTAGTAGTAGTAGTAGTAGTAGTAGTAGTAGTAGTAGTAGTAGTAGTAGTAGTAGTAGTAGTAGTAGTAGTAGTAGTAGTAGTAGCAGTAGTAGTAGTAGTAGTAGTAGTAGTAGTAGTAGTAGTAGTCGTAGTAGTAGTAGTAGTAGTAGTAGTAGTAGTAGTCGTAGTAGTAGTAGTAGTAGTAGTCAGTAGTAGTAGTAGTAGTAGTAGTAGTAGTAGTAGTAGTAGTAGTAGTAGTAGTAGTAGTAGTAGTAGTAGTAGCGTAGTAGTAGTAGTAGTAGTAGTAGTAGTAGTAGTAGTAGTAGTAGTAGTAGTAGTAGTAGTAGTAGTAGTAGTAATATTCATCGTCGTAGTCGTAGTAGTAGTAGTAGTAGTAGCCGTCGTAGTAGTAGGAGTCGTCGTCGCAGTCGTAGTGGTTGCTGCATGATTCATATCATTATTATGAGTCGTAGTAGTAGTAGTAGCAGTAGTAGCAGTAGTAGTAGTAGTAGTAGTAGTAGTAGTAGTAGTAGTAGTAGTAGTAGTAGTAGTAGTAGTAGTAGTAGGAGTCGTCGTCGTCGTCGTCGTTGCAGTAGTAACAGTAGTAGCAGTAGTAGTCGTAGCAGCAGCAGCAGCAGCAGCAGCAGTAGTAGTAGTAGTAGTAGTAGTAGTAGCAGTAGTGGTAGTAGTAGTAGTAGTAGTAGTAGTAGTAGTAGTAGTAGTAGTAGTAGTAGTAGTAGTAGTAGTAGTAGTAGTAGTAGTAGTAGTAGTAGTAGTAGTAGTAGTAGTAGTAGTAGTAGTAGTAGTAGTAGTAGTAGTAGTAGTAGTAGTAGTAGTAGTAGTAGTAGTAGTAGTAGTAGTAGTAGTAGTAGTAGTAGTAGTAGTAGTAGTAGTAGTAGTAGTAGTAGTAGTAGTAGTAGTAGTAGTAGTAGTAGTAGTAGTCGAAGAAGTAGAAGTAGTAGTAGTAGCAGTAGTAGTAGTAGTAGTAGTAGTAGTAGTAGTAGTGGAAGTGGCAGTAGTAGTCGTAGTAGTATTCGTCGTCGTCGGCGTTGCCGTCGTCGTCGTAGTCATGGCGGGGTGTTTTTCAGTGGTAGCAGCTCGGAGCAGCAGGCGTGTCAGCAGCAGTACTGGCTGTCGCAGCCTTCTCCACAGCCGTTGCCACAGTCGTAGTCCCCGCTGTCGTAGCAACACCACTGCCGTTAGCAGGCGCCAGAGGGGCAGCACGGGCTATTTGCAGCAGGAGACGCGGCGGCGTCGGCCAGCAGCGGCGGCGGCCGTGCAGGCCGCAACGCAGCGGCAGCAGTGGTTGCGCAGGCCCTCCAGTCGGAGGGCGTCTGTTGTACACCGATGATTCGCCCTCGTCGTGTGTGATACAAGTGTTGACGCTTCTCGTACCCCCACCAGCCCATCCAGAAACGATGCCCAGGAGAGTTATGGGTGACAAGGGAAGTGTAGGAGCAAGATGGGGGGCAGCCGTTATTTGTCGAAAAGGGGTAAGGGTGGAGGATTGAATGGAGGAGGAGGAGGAGGAGGAGGAGAAGGAGGGGGAGGAGGGGGATGATGATGATGAGGAGGAGGAGGAGGAGACCTAAGGAGTATGAGAAGCGATCTTGCGCTATCTTTAACCATGTTGGAGGCCATCTTGGGCTCTTTGAGGCGCTCTTGGAACCGTCTTGGGCCATCTTGGACGCCCCAGCGCGGCGCGAACCCTCCCGTCCAGGCTCAGGGGAGGGCGTAGGGGGATGGGTAAATTCCTCCCCGAAGGGGGGAAACACGGTTGGAAGAGAAAACATTTTCTAGACCACCAACGCCCTAAAGGCTTGGTGGACTATCTAACAGACGTTTGTATCAACCCTCCTCTAGCATGCGCGCTTAATTGCCGTAGTGTCTCACGCCTTCCGTCTCCGCTTGCGGAGCGAATGGTCTCCGCGGGCTCTTCGACCAGATTTCAGGCTACTCGACCCATCATGTCCAGGCGGGGTCCGTGCATCGTCAAGTCATGATTTGCCGCAAGTTGATATTTGGCGAAGGCCCCGAGCCCAAATGCAGTGGACACGAGCATGTAATTTCGGCATCGTTCTTTTTTGCGGAGGCGCTGCAAGTTTTATGTCACAGAGCGAACACAGCAGTTTGAGCGCCGCCCTTCTAGATTCAGCAGCGACGTCGGCCAAACAGTCCCCACGAACAACAACAGGCTGGCTTTAAAACAAAGCTCCTCCTCGCTTCTCCTCCTCTTCCGCCTCCTCCTCCTCCGTTTCCTCTTCATCCGTCTCTTCCTCCTCCTCCTCCTCCTCCTCCTCCTCTTCGTTCTCCTCCCAGGGGGGGCGTATACCCTTCTCCAGGGCCCAGGATGGGCGTGGCCAGGAGCTGTGCAGCGGTATAGTCGGTGCGCGCACGCACCAGTTATCTTCTTTTGTGCGTGCGGGTGTCACTATCCTCCTCCTACTTTTCCTCATCCTCCTTTTCCTCCTCCTTCTCCTCCTCCTCCCCCTCCTCCTCCTCCTCCCGCGCGCGCGGCGGCACCCACCCGCAGCCGCTCGTCCGTGGACTGGATGTGCGTCCGAGAGGGGGCCTACGCTGATCCTTGCCAGGCCGATCTGGGCCAAGGTTCGGTGTACAGCTGGCGCGAGGCTTGAGGAGCCTTGAGTGCGGTACCCTGGAGGCATGAGGAGCTTAGGAGGAGAAGCTCTTAAGGGGCACGTGTTCTCGACCCTCGTTTATGTGGCCACGCTCCGACTGTATGTGCCGTCCTGCCAAAGCTAGGGCGTCGTTTGCACCGATCATGGCCCCAGGATTCGAAGAACAACAACATACATAACACTCATCGTCGGAGGTCCGCGTGGATTTCTTTGATCCGCGATGGAGCCCCCTGGCGGTACCTGCGGCGCCGCCCCCAGCGCCGATTCAAGACATCAGCGCGGACCTCGCTTCATGTATACATTTCCCAACCATCCTGTCGTGTTGGGTCCTCTGTTTGAAGAGACGGTCACCGCGTTCCTCTCCTCTCCTCTCCTCTCCTCTCCTCTCCTCTCCTCTCCTCTCCTCTCCTCTCCTCTCCTCTCCTCCTCCTCGCCCCCCTCCTCCCTCCTCCCGTCACTTTCCCCACTTTGGCACACACACCCCACACGTTTCGTCGCCCTAACGTCCCAGTGGTGCAGTCCGCATGGCGGCACCGCCCCATGTTGGCAATGGCGGCACCGCCCCATGTTGGCACACTTCTCACACGCTTCGTGGCCCCGTAGGGAGCGCAGTCCGTATGGCGGCGCCACCCCATTTTGGCACACCCCTCATACGCTTCGTGGC